TGCACACTCTACACAGGCTGTGGCTGTGTTACCAGCCTTATTCAAAGGCGTGAATGTAGAGGACATACTTGTCGGGGCAACACAGGACTGGTGAGGAGGGGAAGGGCTGTGGGTCAGTGGGCATCTGACCCCCTCCCCTGACGTAATGCGCTTACGTTTTTTTTCCTTTGGGGGTCCCGGGGGACGTAGTGCGCACTGGGACCATATAGGGCTGGAGGGCTCTCCTCGCCTGCCTATAGTCCACACACACTCCACACTATAGTCCACACACACTCTGCACGGGGTCAGTGTCTGAGTGTGGGGGACTTGGGGCACTTGCGCTCTCCCCGTGCTCCTTAGGAACTCGGGATAGGTGGTGCACATTGAGCCCATACAGGGCTGGACACTCTCCGTCTGCCTATGGGGGGGGGAGCCCTCAGCACTGTTTTCCGAGCACACTTTTCGCGAGGCAAGCGCGTCGGAGTGTGCTCTGTCAGCCGCGGCCCAGACTTCTCCACGGTCACAACCGAGGTAAAGGAGGGTGCGGTGCAGCGGCTGCTAACCAGAAAGCCGGTCAGGGGCAGTGGGGTGGAACGGTGTTGTTGGACGACAGTGCGTGTATACATCGGGGCTCCGCCCACTGTACCCATAGAGTCCAGTAGAGGGCAGAGCCTGTGAGAGATATAACGAGGGGTTACGTATGGTAACCCTTGTTATATAAGCACAGGCGGAGCCCTCTACTCAGGGCCCTGTCGGTCCTATGCCGCTCGCTGAAGAGAGGTGTAGGATGACAGTCTGGAGGCGATGCCTCCTTTAATACGGTGAGATGCACACGCATTCAGGTAGGCCCACCCCGGGGCTGGCTACGTTTATAGAAGTCTCAGTGGATGAATGCTTGCATGATATGATCAAGGGGTAGTACCCATAGAATCCAGTAGAGGGCTTCACCTGTGCTTATATAGGGCGGTGGTGGTGAAGTCCATAGGGACTTGGCTTGGCAACTGGAAGGTCACCATGTCAAGTCCCGGAAAGACCAAGTGCTACCGAGGTGTCCCTGAGCAAGGCATCGTTCCCTACACTGCTCCCCGGGCGCCGTACATAATGGCAGCCCACTGCTCCTAACAATAGGATGGGTCAAATGCAGAGAAACCGTTTCGTTACATAGTACCTGTACTACGTAATGACAATAAGTTGAATCTTTCTTCAATAACAAGGGTTGCCATACGTAACCCCTCGTTTTATCTTCCTATTTTAAATGGGTTTCTGCTGTGTTCAAACCCAGCGTGAGACAGTGGCAAGTCACCAGAAATCATCCCTTCATCATACCTGGGAGCTGCAGTAGAGTCTGGACGGGTCCAGCCAGGCAAACGTTGGTCCTTTTGTGTTGGGAGCCATCAGAGGAAGGTACCATCCTTTATGTCTGTCTGCAGGAGCAGCCAACACGTCCATTGGATGAATAAATACTTCAGGCCTGTGCTGTGAGAGGGAGAAACTGGGGTGCATGAAGTGGACTGTGAATAAGAGAGAGACCCATCTCAGGTTCCAGTGGGGTGAGTGGTGGGTAGGAGAGGGCTGCCAAAGTTGAACTTGGTTACTCTTTTTGCCCTGAAGTAACAACTAATGATTTGATGTCAACCATTGCCGAAGGAAATAGCTGTAACTTAGCTCGATACTGTATGTGTGTTAAGTGTATATTTTCTGTCTGACAGTAATCTATATTTTTTTCACATTGATTTCACTTTTGTTATTCATCTTTACTAAAATGGGAACTCAATCTGTTTTACAATCTAGAATGCTCCCCAAATTATTATTATTCTAAAGGATGTGTGTACTTTTGCCATCTCTGCGTGTTGGCATGCATTTAACAATTTTGACACAGATTTTTATTTAAGTTGGAGGTCAATTAAAACAAATGTTTGTGTTAATAATCTGACCAAATGCATACTTCTTACTATTGCTATAGTGAATTAATAAGATAAATGTGTTTATAATTCAAAGCTATAGGTAATATAAAAAATACAGGCACCTTACAAAAGGGGTCAGTGTTGCATATGTATTATAGAGTGTTGTACATTTAGAAGCAGCTACAGCTCATATTCTTAATTGTGTGAGAACTGGTTACAAATAGGAACTGATGTCATTTAAAGTTCTGCCACAGAATGGCAAAATTACTTTTGTGGGGTTTCAGAGACCCCTGCTGTACCATTGTTGAATACAAAAGCTTTTCAAACGGGTTATTTTTTGTTGGCAGTTCTTTTATAAATAAAAATACCCCCTCCCAAACATTTGGATTCCTATAAAAAATGCTCAGGTGATTAATGTAGAATGTGTCACTTTAAAAAAAAAAGTCCAGATGGGGCACCAAAACAAACACAAACTAATATGACTTAATACAATTTGATATCAACAATTAATGACCCTCTGAACATGGTCATTTCCATCTTCATGAATGGCTCGTTGTTATTCTGAATGTTGCTCAGAGCTGCATCAGGTGTCCAGACTCACCAGAGGGCCGGTGTCTAAATAAACGTAGTCTCGAGCAACAAAATCCATCACCTCACTGGATCACAGTTTATAACCCTGGTCTCAAACTGGAAAGGTTATTGCCATTATTAAACAAACTGATATGAAATTTCATCCCAGTTTTGTACAACAGAGTTCAAGCTGAGCTAAAGACTCAACCTCACCTTTCTGTCAACAGTGAATACTTTCCCAAGGTTCATCGTGAACCAAATGAACTTACTGTAGATATGGGCTGCTTACATGCTTTCTATTACAAGGTAATACGTCTGATCAAATATTAACATAATTACATGTCTGACTGATGTGCTGTATGAATCAATGCAGCTGGAGGCAGCAAAGATAATCTGTAAACACAACACACAGTCTACTTTAAACTTTTAAGTTGATTTGAGGAACCTGCTAAATTAATATTTATTTGGAGTCATGTTTGTGAATTTAAGTCCAATATTTACTCTCTTTCAGCTCAGTTGTTGTTGCTCAATGCTCGTAAATGTTCACCAACTAGCTGCTAACGTTATCTGTCCAAAACAGACATTCAAATTATTTGGTGTGAGATAATCACCAGTCCCAGTAACCACCAGTGTTGCTGTCAACAGTACTTGGCTAACAGCCAATCAGATTGCAGCATGGCAAAAGGTAGAACCAGGGTAGAACATTAGTTTTGGGCATGGTTAATGCTGTTTACCAATACTCAAGAAACTTTAGATTGCAAGCTCTGGAGCAAATTAAAGCACATGTTTTAAATGATTATACCCAGCCAACTTAATAACAATAGCAACCAAGAAGTTATTTAATGCATGCATTGATACAGAATTATATTAATTTCTAAATCAGTAAACTGCCAATAATCCACACTGTTGCCAACAGGTGGGCAAACTACATTAAAGTACTATTATTTAAAACATTTTAATAAATATATTTACTTTTATATTTTACAGCTCTACACATATAGAGTTTTTATTCACAAGGTAACATTCAATCTCAACTTTGCAGGAATATTGTTGCCCCAGTAAACTCTCTCTCCCATCAGTGGGGTGTGCTGAGCCCAAACTATGCATGTCCTTGAGTTCGGCAGTGACTCATGTAGGGGGCGTTGTTCTGCAGCTGGCGTGTCTTAATCAATACAATGCATGTTTTATCAAGTGTCAGCTTTCTGTTTCACTGCGTGCTCAACACAAACTCCAAATATTTTCCAGTAGGATTAACAGCCTCATTTTTCTTGCCCTAAATCCCTCCTGCAGTGACCACTTTCATGAGAAAGCTTTTTTTTTCCTCCAAGATTTGGTCGAATGTTGCCTCTGGTGATTTTACATCATTTCTCTCCGCCTTCCAACAATCCGATTTCACTTCCTTGAGTAGGCTGTGTCTCCGCCTCTAGAGCTCCATGTAAGACCAGCCATGTGACACAACATGGGCTGATTAGAAACCCAACCTGACAAGAGCCTTTTCTTTCTTTTACTCGTTTGGGAACAGTCACTTGTTCCCAGAAGCAGAGGAATTTGCTTTGTGCACTCACAAGTGTTATACATAATTTGTCCAAAATAACTCTCATGTTAGTCAGATATGAGAGTCAAAACCATTCATAAATGAACATGTTTCTATGATTAAATAAACTGTACCAAAAATGCACAAGTCATACATTAATGATTAAATAAATGAATGCTTTTATTTATGTCAGGCACATAATGTCTTCAAATAAAATGGGCCAGATCTGGAAAGCTGCATGTTAAAACAGCAAACACAATCGGTTCTCTTGAATTCAGCATCATCAGATATGACCAGCTGCAGATGAACAACTAAATACCTAGGTTGTAGATAAGCTACAGTCAATTTAGGCAATATAATAAAGGTTCATGCGTTTGTTTAATATCAATAACTGTTCTTCTTTAGGAATAAGCTCATTCGAAATATTTTTTTACCAATGTTATTAAAGAGAGACCGAGAAGCAAGACTTTAATGGAAAAAATACGGGGTTATCTCATTTCAATGTGATGAAATCAAATAATCAAATAGCTTTCAATGATAACAAATAATAGGGTTAAAAAAGCACCAAGAGACCATGAAGCACTACGTTTTGACTGATAGACATTCTGCTGATAGATACATCACACAGTTAAATCATGCCTGCATTAATTTAACGAGTTTTGTGTTGTCCAACCATCAGCAGTGACTCTTGTGGTTGTGGGCTACTGAGGCCCTTCAGTCAGTGTGGTGGATTGCGTGCGAGAGCCCCAACCTTTCTCCACATTCCACAATGAAGAGTTCTGTCCACACATTGTGATTTAGGTCATCACCAATTCACTGCCTGTTTTCAGGCATTTGAAAGATGTCCAGTATCCTGGGTTGGCACAATCACCCCATGCCTGTTACCATGGAAAGGGGGCAAACTAGAACCCTCCTCCATGCAAAGTAAATCTCCACTTTCTGGGGGGTTGGGCTGAGGGGGGTTGGGAGGTAACTTGCGGTCGTCGCTCAGTGCAGTGAAAGGTGCTTGAGGTTCACAAATTAACCCTCTCTTCTTCTGCACGTTTTCATTCAGTAGTTTAACACACTGGTCAACGCTCTGCGACTGTGTAATAGATACATATATTCTACCACAGGCTCGAAAGAGGTTAATTCGGTTGACTCCTCCCAACGTTGTAATTTATCGCATTAATAATCACACCACTTTAGCTTCGCCTTAAAAGTGGGAGGGCTGCTCGAGAGTGCCGAAAAACCGCGAGGAGCTGTCTCCGTTACGCGTGGTGCTGAAAGTGCCCCTCGCCTCATTATGTGGTCGGTCTTCTTTGTCTTTCTGTCTTATCTGGACAGAAACTTCGTCAAGGGCGACTTCCTGAGCCGCGCTTTGGACGCAGAAAGGGAGAGCAAAGAAATGTTCTCCATGCTCAACGGCACCTTCTGCGCAAAAATGTCAACCGTGAGGGAGAGCTTCCTGTACCAGGTGTCAGACGGAGCCGAGGTCGTGCGCTCCTTCGTCAGCCCCGCCGGGAAACTTGTGAACTGCTCTGTCACTGTGAACCATATGCAGGTGAAGTCGTTCATGCATGAGTGCAGGTTGGGACAGAAAGAGCAGAGAGCCGGGCAGCAGCCGGAGACGCGTTTTGCGCGCATGAATGAAGCCAAACGTATGTGCCGGGAGTTTAAGGAGAGGTCGGAGCGCAGCGGCAGGGAGAGGGGTGATGACTCTGCTCTGCAGGACCAGGTTTTAAAAAGGTCTAAGAGAGGCTTCACCTATCCTGGGACCCTGTGGTGTGGAGCTGGAAATATGGCTGATAATTATGACCAGCTCGGTGGGTTATATGCTATCAATATCTTTGAGTTAATCAACTTAATATGAGTGTGTAATAATTACAATAATTCTGACCTCCTTGTTGCAGGAGATTTTGCAGAGACTGACAGCTGCTGCCGTATCCATGACCACTGCCCTCACGTGATCCACTCCTTCTCGGCCAACTATGGGCACACTAACTTCAAGTGGCACTCCATCTGTCATTGTGACTGTGATAATGCGTGAGTAAAATATATAGCTTTGACCTTTATGTGTTTAAATGTCTTCTTGCGTTCATCTCAATTCACAGTTTGACGATTATGTTTTTAGGCAAAATGTTGTCCATCTATACAAAGTATGAAAGCATTTGGAAAATCATTTTCATAAAAGTATTGTATGCTATGCATCAGGATTTAAAAATCAGCCTAAAAGGTTTCAAGAAAAAATTCAAAACTTGTGAGAATTAACACAGCGAACTTCAGTAGTCAATTCGTATAAGCTGTTACAAGTTGCAATTTTTTCATAATTTTGACAAATTATTAGCCACATTTTACTCACCATTAAACAATTCCAATAAATGATGCTGTCATGAGTTATCTAATAGAGATTTTAATGTAACAGTTCTTTGCCAAGGTTTCATTGGCAGGAAACTTCATTTTTGAAAAACAAATCTTAAGAAGTTAGGAAAGTGTGTCAATTGGTTAGAACAAAGGACAATGGTGCAATGAACATCTGATAAGAATGCCTGATTTGCCACCTAAAAACATGTTCATTGGTTAAATCCATACACATTTTAAATAACATTTGGTACAACTTGGTAGACGTATATCAAATGCATTGTATCCCAGGAGAATCTACAGGGGTGGAATTGCAGCTCTGAATCAAACTCATGCTTACATTTGATTGTAGTTACTCAATTTCTCATATTGCACTGCCATCTCCTGAAAGGGAAAACTAGATATGAGACTGCATTTTTGTTGTCCTTTCAGGTTAAAAGCTTGCCTGAGGAACGTCAACGACACATCTTCCAGGGTGGTTGGCCAGGCGTTCTTCAACGTCATTGGTGTGCCTTGCTTTGAGTTGGCCTATGAGGAACAGTGTGCAGAGCGACACTGGTATGGCATGTAAGTATCACTGCATGCTGGTGTTAAACTTTTAAGTAGATTTGCAACATACTGAGTTGTATTATTTTCTGAAATCACCATACATACAAACCTCCCTTTCGTTTGCTTTCTTTAGGTGTAAACTTTACAAGAAGCTTCCGATTGCTGTGCTGCAAGAGGCGGTCCCATATGACTTTGGCGGCATTGATGTCATAGATAAGCTGACGGTCGCTCCTTCCAAGAAGAAAGAGTCCAAGGAAAGTGAAGAAGAAGAAAAACCGGAGAGTACAACACAGTCTACAATTTCAGGTCCAGAAGAGCCTTCACTTACAAATGTTGTCACCGCCGCTGAGGACTTCATCAAGGTCCTCGCTACCGTCTCCACCTCTCAAAGCTCCACCGACCCAGATAAAGACGAGACGCAAAACTCAGAGAAGAAGAAGAGAAAGAAAATAGGGAAGAAGAAGAAAACCAACAAAAAGCGAAAAGGAAAGGGGAGGAAGAGAAAGCAGAAAGCAGAGGAAGGAGCTGCAGTTTCTCCCTCTGGTTGCAAAGCAGAAGAAGTAATCGCTCTAAGTAACTTCCTTAGTAAGTCGCACAAACAGGAGCCGTCCATTGGAAACACAAACAGACTCAGTGACAGTGAATATAAGCTCGGAGGAAAAGAAGAGCCCTATAATGAAGTCATGAAAGATGAGCCAGCAATGGAGAAGCAGACAGTTTCCATTACGCCCCCTACGCCGGTCCAGAAGAAACCAGCAGAGTCCATAGAAGAAAATAATCTTTCCACACCCACCACTGCTATTACACATGAAGTAACCAGAAGGCCCAGAAAAGGGAGGAGAAAGAAGAACAAGAAAAATACTCTTCCTTCCTTTGAAGAGCTTGTAGCGAACACAGCATATAACTTATCAGTCACCATTTCTATCCCCACCATCATTACCATAACCCCGACAGAACAGCCAAAGCAACAAAGCTTTGTTGTCAGCACTGCCAGTACCCCCATTGAAATTCCCAAAGTCAAAAGAAACAGGTCAAAGGAGAGAAGAGACAGAGAGGGGAGGAAAAAAAGGAGGAAAGTCAGCTTAGCTTCTCCCTTTGTGGACGCTGGCTATGAAAATTCCTCCACGGACAATCTGAAAGTAATCCCTTTCACCGGGGCTCCCACCGTACCGTCGTTGCCCACCACAGAGCGGCAGGTTTCACAGACAATTTATGTCTATGGAGGGAAGACGATCGTCCAAGTTACGGCTCTGAAATCCTCCTTTACTGTATTGAAAAGGCAGAAGTCAAAAGGACTGAGAAGTAGAAGAAGGAAAACTGTTTCACCATTTTTTTCAAGTGAAAGTCCACCTGCACCGGCCATCCCTCTAACTACTGCTGCAATTAACAGGCCTGCAGAACATACAGAAACTCAGAGTGAATGGCGGCTTTTCACAACTATCACAGCAGCCCCTTCTATTATTACAAACAGACACCGGCAGAGAATCAGGCAGCAGAGAATACCACGAAAGAAAGTAGTAGCTGCTGCTTTTGACGATGGAGTTTCTATCGCAAACCAAACTAAACAAACACCACTGACTTTTACAACCACACAATCAAAATTCGCTACCACTGAAGAGCTTAACCTATTCAGATCTGAAAAACGCCACGTGACCACCTCAGGGACTCCAGTCATGAGTCCAATTCAGTTATCAATTGAGAGAGCAAAAGCACAATTCACCCTGAAGAAGAGGAGGAAAGCAGTAATATCCCTTAGACAACAATGAGCCATGTGGCGCAACAGTATAGGCCAAGAAAATCTTAGCTGGCTAGGTTAGCTCCTGTCGATCAGAGACAACTGAGTTTTATACTTTATCAATATCTTTCCAGTATAATCTTTTTTCATGTTCAGCATTTAATTAACATTCATTTACAGCAATCATATTCAATTATGTGGAAATCACGTTTTGTAATATTGTTTTCTGCACATCTATAATAAAGTTTTCAAATGATTATGTGGCTTCCTCTACTGGTACTGCTACCACCACGACCAGACATCGGATAAGCGGTAGAAGATGGATGGATGATTATGTGAATGTATTTGACGGTGACATTTCAATTTAGTGAAAACCTGCATATTGTGTTTTCTATCTGAGATTAAATGATTGGTACAAACATGCTACAAGATGCTAACATTTAAGCTAACACCAGTAGCTGCATTAAAACCGAAACATGTCAGATATGACTTAATAGCATAAAGGTATGAGCTTTTGAGGTGCTGGTTGAAGGAGTTTTTTACGGACAAAGCCATGCTAGCTGTTTTCCCATTGTTTCAGGCCTTCATGTGGCTTCATAGTCACCATTCAGACGCAGTTTAAATATGTTCATGCAATACTGTAAGAAAGTGAATAACTGTAGGCTATTACTCACAATGTCCTTTCCCCAATGTCAATGTTTTATTCCAGTTTAAACTTTGTAGATATCTGAAATTATCAGAATGAGCAGAGAAAGAAAGCTAGCAATATAAGGCTCAAAATGATCCTTTTAACATTTTCAATTATCCTTTTAAAATCATCTTGTGTGCCATTCTCTTGTTATCTCAGCTTGAAATATTAAAGAAAATTAGAAATCTAAATAACAGAGGCTTAGCACGAACCTGCTTAGCATGATTACATTTTTGTGAACCTTTTCTTCCACACAGCGGGCAAAGAAACCATGCCAAGAAGAACTTGCAAGTTTATGCAATGTGCTCTTTTGTTTAAAGGGATTTATTGTCCCCCCCCCCCACCTCCCTCCCATGTGGTTTAAAGCAGGGTCACATTCTCAACAAAGATTAGGTTCTCACTTTGCACTTTACTTTCACCTCTCAGCACTCAGGGTTTGTAACACCCAGTGCAGTGGCTGAAATCCTTCCAGGTCAGCTGATTCTCACATGCTTGGCATAAGACGAAATATTCTGAATGACTTGAAAAGTGTGACATGTCTAATAGATCTTCATCACATCTGATACATGGACAGATAAATGTACTGCTGAGAAAAATTTTTCAGATATTCTGGCCAGCATCAGATTATCTTGTGTGAATTTTGCAAACTGTGGGAAACGATGTAACAATGCAGACGTTCATGCTGCAGTAAAGATTTTCTGGAAGATACCCAAGCTTTCAAAAGGAGCTTGGCATTCAGATTCAATCATAAGCTGAAATGGCAGAGCAATTTACAGTACAGTTGGACCTTTGATAAGACTATTGTGTGAGGGGAGAGACAGTGGCATGAACTTTCTATCTCATTTCTAAGTTTAAAAGGTCTTTGGATTCATGTTTGCTTATATGTATTCTAAGTTGTATTAACACCACATTTGCATTCAAATTGAATCTGTATTTAAAACTCAAAATATGCTTTGCAAAATACCCTATATGAAATGTATTGTTATTCATAGTTATGCCTTACTCACAATTAAATGTACAGTGCACGTGAATGAAACACTCAACAAAGGTGCCCATGTGTGTAGCTTACATTTAGTTAATCTGTACAAATCAGATTTATACACGGATAAAGAATGATTAACACAGTTACACAGATCAACACAAACATAAATATACAGTCTTAATATACACACATTTCCTGAACCTAGGGTATGTGATTGTAGCTGATGCCGCTTTGGTTGGATGCCCACTGGTCACAGGTTGTGTTTGGGTTTTGACCCCAACTCGTTACGGCAGAGTAGGCATTGAAATATATGAGATGTGTTAGGAGGCACGCTCCGGTCAGGCAGAACAAACACACAAAAGGGATATACAATCCATAGTATGGGAGATAATGAGAGGACAGCACACTCTGTGACATCCAATTAGGACGGTGAAGAATCCAATAACACAGAGGAGGAGTTATTGATTGAGAGAAAATAACGTGGAGTGGGTAACAATGAGCTGGTGTGTCACTGATGGATGAGGGAGAGAGATGTTGTGCTTCTGCTCAAAGTGAGCCAATCAGATCAAGTATAACACATGCAAATAGGAATCCTGCTTCTATGATTTCAATAGGTTGTGGAGAACAGTTAGTTTAGTCAACCAAGTATCTATATAGACTCACTTTAGAGTTAAACAAAGACAGTAAAAGCGATTTGAATTCATATTCAAATTAAAGACAAGCTCATTTTATAGTGAGAAAAAACACAAAATGGCAAGGAAGCATCAATATAATACCTTTGCAAATATTTAAAGCTCTGATTTGTTTTCTGTCCTACAAATTTAAAGCAACTTAAATGGAAATAAACAAAGATTTTTGCAGATTAACATTGAATGTATTAAGTAATGGACATTGAATAAAATCAATTTGACAGTTCAAAAATCTATTTCTTGCAGTGTATTTGGAGATTTAAATAACAGCAAATGTGGGCATCAATTTTGCAGGAGAAAAGGAATTCAAGGACTTAAGAAGTTATTTATTTTAAATATAAAATGTTGAACATTGATGTGATACATTTTAATGCAAATATCTCACAAAAATGTAAAAAGAACATTGTCTTAACTTTAAGAGTACAATACAGCAACTCTGCTTATTTGTTTGGTATCCTATTATCCTATAAAAGCCCAGGAATCATTATTCTACTCCTGGCAGCTGATTGTGGCGAAGACTAGCCTCCATTTCTCTGTTACACATTTTCTGTTTGGGTGCGAAAAGCTGCAGCCTTGTCATGAAACAGCCAGCCAAGTGCTTTTTCTAACGTGTGTGTGTATACAAATGAAGGCTTTGGGTAAAAGGATGATCATTACCATCAGAAAGGTCTGTGGGTTTTGGTTGGCAGTTACCAGCAAAGCTTGGCTTTCCTCCGGCCTCGAGACTGGGCAGGATACTCACTGGCATCTCTCTACAGGCAGAAACACAGAAAGAGATACTTCAGTCTGGAGCAAAGTGGTGGACTGACAGGCCAAAGTGATGCTCATATTTTCCTAGGCCCATAACTTTGACCTAGTTTATCAGTTTCTACTGCCCTTGCTGAGCACAGGCTTGCGACCTTGGGGTGCTCTCTGTGTTTTGTCTCCTTATTCCTGGCTGTTGGCGTCAGCTGATAGAGGTGTTATAGTGACCTGCCTGTTTTATCTTGTTATGCAGAATGTTGATTCTTCTCTCAGAACCAGCTAAGTTCATGGGACTGGGTGAGAGATCTTCAGAATTGGTTGGCCAAACGCTGTGTCACTTCATAGCTAAAGCAAATATCTTTGTCAATTCTCCGGCCGTAACTTCAAATAAACCTTCAGTGTTTGCCATGGAGTTCCAGCTCTCCCGTGTCTCATCGTGTTTCGACTCCATGTTCCAGAGGTTTCCATTACACCTGTGAAAACAATCTTACAATTGATCCTCTTCTTTCTTTTTTTTTTATATTATGGAAGAAGAGGCTAATGTGTCTCGTGTTGTAGAGAAAATAAAGGAGGACGTATTGGAAGAAAAAATTATTAATGTTAATGCCTCTCTGTCTTCCCCTCTATGTGGTTAAATGAACTGGATTATTTGGTTAATGCATATTTTAAAGAACCCATGAAGTTTGATCTGAGTTGTCCTGAAGATTATTTTAATAGTTTTTAGTTGTATTAGCACTATAGCATAAACAACAGAGTAACTCACCCACAACAAAGCTTTTCAATGTGAATCCAACAGACTTCTGCTGTTAAGGTAAACGTTTGAGCCCCACATATCCATCCTGCAGGTATGTAATAATATTGTGCTTGTGACCTCTAGTGGACAATCCTGAAAGGATATTTGTCAAGCTGTGCTGCTCAATTGAAACCCACCCTCATTCTGTCTGTGAAAAGTTTGTGCATTATTGCAGATCATATCTAAATCTCAGAAAATACAATAGGAAATCCTTCACCACCACCCGCAAATGTACTTAAATTACTCAAAGTAAAAGTACAAAATGGCACCATTCAGGGTTTTATGTTATGTGGTTATTGGAATAATATTAATAATGCATAACATGTAAAAAGAGTTTCAATATTAATGTTGTCATTAACTGTTTAGCAGTTTCTTATTAAATAAAACGCTATATTGAATAAACTAATCGGATATTTCAAATCCTTATCGTAAATGTAACTACTATAGCTGTCAGAAAAATGGTGTGCAGTAAAAGTGTTTTAACATGTAGTGAAGTATAAAGTGTCATACAATATTTACAGTCAAGTTAAGCACAGAAACATGTACTAAAGTTTGTATCACATTTCGTTTACGAATCCTTGTTGGAATGAAGTATGGGAACCAGTGCATGACATTAAGGATTTTGGGAGATGGCCCTGTGGGCCATCTAAGCTAATTTACAGATGGCCCTGAGCCCAATAGAGATTGCCCTGAAAAATGCGCGCGGACGAAATGACGCGCGAAGGGTTTGGGGGGCCTCCCCCCTAGAACATTTAGATTTTTGCCGGTCTTAGATGCTGTCTGGTGCATTCTCTAGACTGAATTATAAGATGAACCACCACAATATTATATTGTTCAATTTCAATTTTATTCTTCATTTCACTTGTTTGTTCTTGTTTGTGTTTGCTCGCTTGCCTGCCCTGCATAGCTATAAGAAATACACTTTCCATCTGATGAAGGCAAATTTCCCAGATGTACAAAAGTAGAAAACATTACATTCAGTTATAACTGCCAAAACAAACATTATTTACACTATTATGGCGGCGGCCCCTGTTCAAAATGTTTGTAATGTTACTGTAAATTGGTCGAACGAATGCCTCCTCATCCGGAAGCTGACCGAGCAGACCCGAGCAGCAATCGAGAGGAGCCGAGCGCATCCGCGAAGCACACAAAATGGCGACGTCAGAGTACGCAATACTCTTCAGTTGCGCCACTTATGTGACAGACAAGAATAGTCAATTCTAATGTCTAACACTTAATGTGGAGAAAGAGATGTCCTGTATGGGTTGATTGTGCGTTGATCTGTTGGTAATGCCTCGGGGTTCCGGTGGGCATGATCACATGCAGCGCTGAGCGGACAAAACACACACTTCAGGTTAGAATATCACACTATTTTAACCCTCCTGTCCTACATTCAGGGTCAAATTGACGCGTTTGAAAATCTACGAAAAATACTTTCAAGTATTTTTTTTGTATGAAACTTCTTCTACTTACCTTAATCAGTGTAATAAACAAGTAAAATGAAAATGGTTCATGTCATGCATTTGGAACCCCACCCAACATGTCTATATCACAGAGATGGTATTCGGGTCAATCTGACCCGGCAGTGAAAGTGGAGGCTAAAAGGGGTCAGAAATACGCACGCACGCACGCACGCACCCGCACGCTCAAATGTGTAATGGGTAAGCTCCTCCCACACTGGGATACATTATACTCTGCACTTAACGTACAGTATACTCACAATACTATCAGACAAAATGAGCAATGCAAGTGAAGAGAGGACAGCCCTGGGCTATATGGAATACATCCTTGAGGAGGATCACGACAGCAAGATAGAGGAGAACGTTTCCGAGGATGAAGACTACCTTGAGGTAAACGATGAAGATGAAGATTCTGATTATGATCAATCAGATGAGGAAACTGATAGTCGCCCAGATAAGACATTCATGTCCAAAAATGGTGAAATTCAGTGGTCCTCATCCCCTAATGGACGCCAGGCAACACTATCGGCAGCAAACATAATGAAGGCAGTGCCAGGGCCCACCAGGATGGCAGTCTCTCGTGTCACAGACATCAAGTCTGCTTTTGAGCTGGTAATTTCGAACACAGTGCTGAAGATCGTTCTGGATATGACCAATCTGGAAGGGAGACGTGTATATGGGGAGGAGTGGAAGGAGCTGGATGAAATGCATTTACATGCGCATTTGGGTCTCCTCATCCTGGCTGGGGTCTACAAATCCAAGGATGAATCGACAGCCAGCCTGTGGGACGCAGACACAGCAGGAATATATTTCAAGCCACAATGTCTGGGGACTTTCCACATTTTCTCAAGAGTGATCCGATTTGATAATCGTGACACAAGAGCTGGCAGACGTGAGAGAGACAAGCTGGCAGCTATAAGGACAGTGTGGGACAAGTGGGTAGAGCGGCTTCCACTTCTCTACAACCTAGGACCTAATGTCACAGTGGATGAAAGGCTGGTGGCATTCAGAGGTCGTTGCCCCTTCAAGCAATACATGCCTTCGAAACCGGCAAAATATGGCTTGAAAATATGGGCAGCATGTGATGCAAACTCCAGCTATGCACTAAACCTGCAGGTTTACACTGGAAAGCCAGTTGGAGGAGCCCCAGAGAGGAATCAGGGCATGAGGGTTGTGCTCGACATGGCACAGGGTCTCAGGGGTCACAACATAACTTGTGACAATTTATTCACGTCCTACAACCTGGGTCAGGAGCTCCTGAAGAGAAAGCTAACAATGGTTGGAACTGTACGAAAGAACAGAACGGAACTCCCTGCCGAAATGCTGGTGATCAAGAACAGGGTCCCTCAATCCTCCAAGT